CCCCTAACCCCCAACCCATAGGGACTGAAACAGTTTCAAGATATGGAGAAAAGAGATTTCTGCTGTCTCTTCCCCTGTGTCCCTCACCACCACGGGTTCCCCTCTCCCCAACGGGGTGGGTGGCCTGCTGAGGGCGGGGGTGGGGGGGATGACGGAGGAGAGGGAGGGACACGCTCGGCTTGTCCCATAAAAGCACTGTTGCTGCCAGACTGTTGCTGCTCGGGTTAATAAGAGGTGGGTGACAGTCACTTTGAACTCTGGCCAAGCAGGCCTCTGGAAAGGGACCAATGATCTCCCCATCAGCCCCGGGCTCCTGCTCGCCCTCCCTTCTGGGTCCCCTTTCCTCCTCCCCTTTACCCATTGCACAATATAGATGACTGTTTAGTCCTTGCCACCACCATTCCCGGAACCTCCAGGTTTCCTCAGCAGGGCTGCCTCTAGTTCTGACCCCAGATCGCTGTGGCCACCCTCAAGGCTGTACCTTTCTCCTTCCCATCTCCCAGTCTTGCATGGTTTGCTACTGGGTTTAGCAAGATAGCAGGAAAGATAATCCTGAACTCTCAGGGAAGAATGAAGCCAAAGATTTCTAGAGGGAGCCCCTCTATTCCTAACTCAGACTCTGAGGAGACCTAACTGTGAATTATTTTCATTGCTACTTTGTAACTGTAATTTTTAATTGTTATGGATTGTAATGTAAATATCTGTGTTTTCTGATGGTCTTAGGTGACCTAGGTGAGAGAGTCCTTTGATCCCCAAGGGGTTTCAACCCACAGGTTGAGAACCATTGCTCTAGAAGGACATCTGCTTAGAGATCCACAACTAATGTGGCCTTGCCCATAGTTCCTGGTTTTCTGTCCCCTAAATTCTTACTTTCTCCTTCCCCAAGGTGGGAACCAACTTCACTGAGTACTTCTCGAAGCCCCTGGCATAGGGGTGGGGAGGCCCAGTGTCACCTCCTCGATCCTATTCTCTTAGGTGACTTTTGTCAGCTGCAGGGTATCGTCGAAAGACAGTAAAAGACTAAGAGCCTAGGCTGTGAATACTCCCCAGACCCCTGTCTCAGAACCAGGAATTGGGGTTGAGTTCACCACCAGAGCAAGAGGTTCCTGGCATTAGAAACAATGAAAGAACCAGAGGGCTGGTCTCTGGGGGAGAGGGGACTCTTTGTCAGGCACTGAAATAAGGAAGGAGACACTTGGAAGAATGGGTGTGTAGGAGGGGTGTCCCCAGCTCTGGCTTGAGGTCAGAAAGGGTTCTCTGGGCAGCAGGCAGCATGCCCAGTCCTCCCACACCTTCCTCCTTTCTCAGAAGAGCCTTCATGGGTGGGTGGGGCTCTGCTGGGGCAGCATGGGGGCCTATTTAAGGCGCTCTGCTCCTCCAAGTTGCTTATTGCAGATCCAGCCCTAGGGATGCCAGAGAAGAGGCTTTGTGGGTAAGTACTGCTCCTTTCCCAGGATTCAGCAGGGGAGGGTGACTCCTGAGTCTGCTGCCTTTGCTTTCTCTCTCCAGGGACACATGAGGACGGCACCCAGCTGTCACTTTAACTCTCCAGGAAATGGAAGTGCATTTCAGGGAAGCTTTCCTCCTCCATTCAGCAATCCCAAACACTCAAGATCTCCTTCCAATCAGGAGATTTTCCAGGGGCTGACACTCCTGAGCTGCTGTCTTGGAGACCCCCTACAGCTGAGGAAGCTCTTCCAACTGCTGATAACGCCATCATCAGGTGCAAAATTTGGCTTTTCCCGCAGTCCCTTACCCCTCTAGACCCTGTACCTGGCCCACCAAGAACACGTCTGGGCAGGCAATAATGAGACCCACTGCAACACCCAGTCCCTGCCACTCTCTGAGTTCCCCGCCCCTCACAATCTTGTTCTTATCCAGTTCTTGTTCCTTTCTCTAGCTATGGGATCCCATTCTCCGCTTCAAGCTCAGCACCCCACCACTGAGGGAGTGGGCAGTATTCTGAGATCCCGGGCTATATCCTGAATCTCAATTTGTCCATGTTGGGACTTGGGGGACACTTACAGAAGGGGACCAATGAGAGGGCTCAAGTGCTCACACAAAACTGACACCCCTAAGCCCACATGGTGGAATGAAAAAACCCATCTGACCTCACATGCCCTGTGTGTATGTGTATTCATGCCACACACACAGGCGCGCGCGCGCGCACACACACACACACACACACACACACACACACACACACACACACGAGGCACACACTAAATAAATGAAAGAACAACCTACGGGAAGAGAGCTCTGGAAGGCAGGCAGCATCCAGGCTGAGAGAACTTTGGCCATTTGGCTCTGAGAACTGAATTCCATAGGCTGTGAGCTCTAGCAGACGCCCTAGGGACTCAGTTCTGGTGCCCAGTGTGCTATGTTATCAACGCCAAGGAACCAGATAGCTCTCACTCATGGCTGCCCAGTGGGAGCTCCTGGAGGCTCCATAGCTGAACCTTTTGTTTGTTTGTTTGTTTGTTTGTTTGTTTAATTTTGGGTTTTTGAGATGAGGTTTCTCTGTGTGGCTCTGGCTGTCCTGGAACTTGCTTTGTAGACCAGGCAGGCCTTGAACTCACAGATCTGCCTTCCTCTGCCTCCCAAGTGCTGGTATTAAGGACATTAACCACCACCTCCAGGCTCCAAACATTGTTAATAACACTGACTCGGGGTACTCTTCTGCTCAAAGGGTTCAGTGGCTTCCCAACCAAATCTGTCCTCCTGTGGGAAATAGGAGGAAGGGGCCCCTCTGAGACAGGATACCTATATAATTCAGAATACCTATAAAACCCAGGAAGCAGCCAGGAGGTGGTGGCACACGCCTTTAATCCCAGCACTTGGGAGGCAGAGGCAGGAGGATTTCTGAGTTTGAGGCCAGTCTGGTCTACAGAGTGAGTTCCAGGACAACCCGTGCTATAAGGAGAAACCCTGTCTCGAAAAAACAAAAAACAAAAAACAAAAAACAAAAAAAAAACAGGAAGCTACATAACCCAGAATACCTACATAACCCAGGATGCCTACCTATCTAACCAAGGATAACCTCGAATTACTGCTCTTCCTGCCTCTACCTCCCAAGCGTTTACAGACATGCCACTCTATCTGCCCTCGACCTGTTTGCTGTCAGTCCTCCAGGATGAAGTCCACTTAGCTCTCAGGGCTGATCTTCACTGCTGTCTTGTCAGTGATAACTACTGCTTCCTCCTGCGGCCTGCTTTCACTCCTGCCTCCTGCTCGGCTCTTTTTGGGCTACCTCATCCCCATCACCATCCATCACAGTCCTATCTGTCCTTGGAAGCTTCTTTCGACTTCCCAATAGTGCTCAGACTCCCTGTGTTCCTCCCCAGTGGGGTAGATTCAGAAGCCCTTTACCCTGGTAGTATCTAACCCAGTGTTCTGCACAGCACAGTTCATCAACAGACATCCCTTGCCTTTCGTTGCTTGTGCCTCATGTAGGAAGAGGAAGTTTGACCTTGAGATTAAAATCAATCAGATTACATTCTCATTTTGTAACCTCGGATGAGTTGTTGGATTCATATAGGACTGTGTCAGACTAACTTTCCTTGTGTGTAGATGGGAATAATAATTATAGCTACGTCACTGTTTTGTGAGCATACACTTTAGTGAGTTGGCAACTTTCTGCACAGGTATTTAGTACAGCATGCAACACATAGCAAGACTCGAGGATACATGGGAGACTATGGTCCTTATCCCATTCCTTGGAAAATAGATTTACTTAGTGGGGGAGGGGTAGTGAATGCATGCTACCGCGTGCTTGTGGAGTCAGAAGAGAACCCCGGGAGAATTCCTATCCTATCATGTGCGTCCCAGGGACTGAACTCAGGTCATCAGGCTAGGCCTCAAGCACCTTCACTGGCTGAACCATCTTGCTAGTGCCTTCTTGGGTTTTGTTTTTTAAGTAGCATGGGTTCTGTGGTCAGGGCAGTTGCCGAGTGAAGTGGGACTTGGAATTTATCTGCCAGGCCTTTCTGCACGATGGGCTCCAGACCTGATCCTGCAAGGGCG